ACAGTTATAAAATAGTACAAGTTGGCAGATGTCTGTGAACACTGAGTACGTAATTCAACTTACTCTGAAAGTTGCTTCGAAATTTTAACAGTTTGCAATGAGAGCCTTACATCAAATTTCATTTACTTGATTAATGATTAGAGCATGAGAGTATTTGAGAGCTAGATAATTTTAGGGTCCATTCAGCCTAATGCTCTCATGTCAAATTAGCTGGGAGATAGTGAGATGGTGAACAACCTGTCCAGTGTTACCTTTCTCTACTTTTGATGATGGGAACATTCAAACTCAGATGACTTTGATAACAAATTGGCTTTGTAATTCTCAATCCTCAAATAATACTTATTCTCATTTATTGATTATTGAAAAATTTCAACATTATAAAGTAATTTTATATTTTTAAAAATCCACCATCAGTACTGGAATACTATTTCGGTATCTTACCAGATTTTACAGTCAGTAAACATTGACAGGACAGATTTTATTTTATTTTTTTTATTTTTTATTTTTTGCGGTACACGGGCCTCTCACTGTTGTGGCCTCTCCCATTGTGGAGCACAGGCTCCCGACGCGCAGGCTCAGCGGCCGTGGCTCACGGGCCCAGACGCTCCGCGGCATGTGGGATCTTCCCGGACCAGGGAACGAACCCGTGTCCCCTGCATCGGCAGGTGGACTCTCAACAACTGCTCCACCAGGGAAGCCCGACAGATTTTATTTTTATTGAAGTGTAGTTGATTTACAGTGTTGTGTTAATTACTGCTGTACAGCAAAGTGATTCAGTTATACACACACACACACACACACATACATTCTTTTTAAAAATATTCTTTTCCTTTATCATAGGATATTGAATATAGTTCTCTGTGCTATGCAGTAGGATCTTGTTGTTTGTCCATTCTATATATAAAAGCTCATATCTGCTAACCCTAATCTCCCACTCCATCCCTCCCCCAACCCCATCCCCCTTGGCAACCACCAGTCTGACAGAACAAATTTCTAGTGTGCACAGAAAAGCTTACATAAAACACATGAAAAATTAACTGTTTTTCATTTGCCAGAAGATATACTTCAGACCCAAGAGAAACAGCTATTTGGGGGGAATTTATAAAGAATATAGGACAAAATGGGAGGGGAGTCTCTACACATACAGGTTGTTAATTAGAGGAGTCTAATGCCTCCTTATATTTAGATTATTTTCTCGGTCTTGCATTCAAACTTAATGAATAAAAGGGATCTAGCATTTGGTTATTCAGAGCCCCTGTGCTACCTAATGTCCATCTCCACATGATAAAGTAAGCTCAATATATATGCATATTACATATGTCTCTTTCCACAGGATAGGGGTTAGAGTTGTCGTTTGAATTCGAGTGCAGAGTCATATGCTGGGATTGGGGGCTGGGAGAGAATGAAAGAGGAAGAGGGTTGGTTTTATGATTCAAGGTCTGGTGGGAACATTTTTGAAAATATAGGTGCTATTTCCTGCAATCAAGGGCTTTCCAGAGCTTGATAATCATTTCCCAGGTGTATCTCTTGCCGAATTGTTTTTAGTTGTGGGCACTCCCTGGCTGTTTTTTCCCATTTATGATGGAAGAGGATCATATTCATCTTGCTGATAGAGAACCGGGAATTTAATTCCCACAGCTTCTCCACTCT